TGAAAAATAACTATATTTTCTCCCAAAATAACTGGATTCTCGTATCTGTTTCTGCATTCAATCAGTTGTGGTTCAAGTATATGAAGAAACTGGCCCATACAAATATGTACAATAGAAAAAGGAAGAGTATTTTAACAGCTTTTTCAGAGAATTATGGATGTTATTCTCTGATACGGCACCAAAATGCAACTCTTCAAGGGTAGCTGTGACATGGAAATCTGAAATATCAATGAACTTTTCTTCCTCTGTTACATAAAAATCCATTGATCTATCCTGTACTCCAAAAGGACCTTTTACTCATGTGTTGGTCATGTGGAAAATATCAGTTCACTAAGTTGTGTAGATTTTCCCAATGTTCACACATTTGACATACAATATCAAAAAAATCACATTTGTTAAAAGTTTTTAGGTATCACAGGAAGAAAATCTCATCAAAAAAGTCTTTGAAAAAGCTTCCAAGCTCACAAAAGCTAATAAAAATTTTCCAAAATTCTAATTTTGCATGAAAGCTTGAATTTGATCACCGGCAACAAATACTGTCAATTGTTTTCACTGTAATGAGTCTCGCTTTCCTCCTTTTTGAGAAAATGTCTGCCAAATACTCAAGTCTGAATAACCATCGTTCTTTCAAGTAAAAAAGCATTCCATGAAAAAGGTTTCACTTTGCAATCCAGTTGCACGGTTTGCAGAAATGCTTGATGAAAACTTACTATTGCACCAGAGTATTAAAAAGACATGTATATATTCAAGGGTTGAGATTTGATAAAAATGATTTTACTGCTTTATCAATGACGTTTTTAAATATAATTGACTTTTAAAATTATAAGTACAGTTTAGTGCTATCTTGAAGGTGTTAGCAGTTTTGAATAGTGCTTTTCCAATATCAGTGCAAATGTCGACACGCTGAAAAAGAAAAAAAAATATCTTGGTATTGGTAGAAAATAGTTTTCACCTTGCAGACCCCCTAAAAGGGCCTCAGGGATCCCCAGGAGTCCATTCACCACACACTGAGAACCACTGCTCCAGAACAAGAACTGCGCCTTCTTTATATCTCAATTTCAAGCATGAATTCTCTAACCACTACCTCCTCTCTTTTCAACTCACTTCAAGTCTTCCCTTGCATACACCCTAATTCCTTTCACTCTTCTCTACATACTCACCTATCAAAATCGCAACCGTGGTTAAATCCAGCTCTCGCCTACTCAACCTGTATCAGGAGCAGCCGAATATGGCTAGATAAAAAGTACTGCCATATTGCTTGGTCTCACCTTTAAGTAGTAACCACTCATAAAAAGTAGGCTCTTACTACCATGTTTCCATAGTCAATTCTCTCATTCTTCTAGAATCTGAGACCTAAGGTCTAGATGAAGACTTCATGTCTTCTCCTCTCTGAAACTCTAACACCTCTTCCTCCTCCTTTATACTCTCTTGCTGACCTTCTTATTTCACTATAGAAATAGAAGTAATCAAAAGAGAACACCCACCTACAAACTCTGTAACAACCTACTTGCAAATATACCTCATCCTCTGCCTTTCTTTCTTTTACAAAGAACCTACAGTCCATGCTTCTATCTAAGGTCAATTTCTCCACTTGTGCAATGGATCTCATCCCCTTTGGCTACTCAAGGACAGTGCTCCTACAGTTTTCCCACTCCCTCCTGCATTATAAAGTGTTCTCTCTCTATTGGATAATTTCCAAGAATCTACAAACATGCTGCAATACCTCCTATCTTAGAAGGGGAAAAACTCTCAGGATTCCACATCTCCCAGCAACCATGCCTCATTTTTTTGCTCTCCTTTACAGGAAAATTCCAAGAATTATGTATAAGTGCATTTCCACTTCCACTCCTCCCATACTCTCTTGAATCCATTCCAATTAGGCTTCATCCCAATCTCCTGGAACTCCTCTTGTCAAGATCACCGGTGATCTTCTCCTTGTCAAATTCAAAGGTCCATTCTCAGTTCTTGTCTTACTCATTTGACCTAATTGATCACTTCCTCCTTGAAATTCTT